ATCTCTAATTTTGTTAAAGAGAGAGTATAAGCAATAATAGGAAGGACCAAGGGTTTTTGCTAGTTGAGATAAGGATAGCTATACAGGGAGATTCCTAACATTGCTTCCATGTACATATGTGTTACTTTCTAAGTTGATTCTTCTCAAACTGACCTTTTCTCTAGTTCCTAGTCCCCTTCTCCTGTTGGCCTCTTTGTTCTCTTTCTTCCTTTTAACAGTTTTGTATGGAATTTACCCTCTTTTCTGAGAATTTTGTTTATTTTTCATATAAAGTTAGTTTTCATGAGTTTTTAGAAGGAGGCCTGGCTAGAAATAGCTTCTTACGTTCAAGAGGCACCCTTTACTTTTGTATGTTGGCTCAAGGATGAGGCCATTTGCTTTCTGAGACTCCCTGGCTGATATCTGGGCTTTCTTCTCCTCCCACTTATAGCTGCTGTTCTCAGAGTGGCCCGCCCTGACCCATGGTTCTCTGAGCCTCTGTGGGTTTGTGCAGTCAGGTCCCTCAGGGACTGTCACGGCCTTCTTCCTCTTCTCACACAGGTCCCTGTAGGTGGCACTTCCCCACCCAAGTGTAATTTTATTTAAATGATTAATATTAACTTCAATATTAATATCACTTAACTCTAATAGAAATCTTATTCCCGTTCCAGAAATAGATGGACAAGTACAGGTTGTTTTGGTGTGCTGGTGATATCAGCCCCAGGGTCTTCCTCATGCTCAGCACATACTCTGCTTCTAGCCCCCCACCCCCAAGTATATTTTTATTCTGTCCCCAGATCAGCTTAATTTTTTCTCATTACTTTTGGGATTTGCCATCTACTTACTTCTATTTTCTGGGGTTTTTTGAGGTTAATATTTTGTTAACATATACTTCCTTTTTTAGCAGTACTGGAGCTTGAACTCAGGGCCTACACTTTGAGCCACTCCACCTGCCTTGTTTTGTGTTGAGTATTTTTGAGATAGCTATTTGCCCAGGACTGGCTTCAAACCATGATCCTCCTAATCTCTGCCTTCTGAATGAATATTTAGGATGAAGGCATGAGCCACTAGCACCTGGCTATGCTTTCTGTTTCTCTTCACAGCTTGCGAACCAGGCGGGAATTCCTCCAGGTGTGTACAACGTTATTCCCTGTTCTAGAGCCAAGGCCAAGGACGTAGGGGAAGCTCTGTGTACTGATCCACTGGTGTCCAAAATTTCCTTTACTGGCTCAACAACAACAGGAAAGGTATGTGAGTAAAGTCTCAAAGAAAACAAATGTCCTAATATTTTCTCTTTATAGAACACAAAAAGCCTATTTTATCTTGATCATCCTTTTAGACAAATTTCCAGGAGAGTGGTAAAAGCTCTAATAAAATAATGTCTGATCATCCTCTGGGGATATTTTGGATAATGTCCCCTATTGTGACATGACATGGATTCTTAGGTGATATTACCAAAGGAGTTTGATAGTGAGGCTCTCATTATTTTCCTAGTTTTTATACTAGGTGAAGTGGTTGAAAGCTATTCACTGTATTCTTTCAATTCCAGAGTGCAGGTTTCTTTAGCAATCCAGAATATAGATTCCAGGAGCACATGTTGATGTTGACATGGGAGTCTGAGAATTGAACAAAAATGTGTATTTGGGATAAAGGCGTTTACAGAAAATGAAAGGTGCTTTTTTTAAAGTTTTTTCCCTACATTTTGAAAAATTCTCTTCTCAAAATGTCATTTGTGCCTGTTAATAGATTTTTATTTATCCTTTTAAATGTTCAAAAGAGAAAAAAGTCAGGCTAGAAAAAAATTTGTTTATATCTTTTCTTCTTTTCCTTTTGTCTTTCTTACTTTGTTTTTATTTTCTTTTTTGTTTTTAATTTTGGTGCTAGGGATCGAAGCCAGGGTCTTATGCTTTCAAGGCAAGTGCTCTACCACTGAGCTACACCCCCAGCCCTCTGCTATTTTACACACACACACACTCATGCTAGATATGTATGTAAATACACAGAAGGTAACAATAATCTGAAGGTCATTTTTCGGAAGCATGAGACCAGAGATATAGTGTGGTTATTGTTTAACTCCCAGTCACTCTCACTTTTGTCATGCCATGAGCTAGGAAAATGACATTTTGGAATCCTACCATTCACTCATATAAAATGGGAATTTTTAGATCTATAGAGTCCTAGGGTCCTGCTCAGTGGCTCTTCCCATGCAAACTTACCCTCAGATGGATTCAGATGTTACTAAAATAGAGAGAATCGAGACCTGAAAAGGGGCTTAAAATCTTTGCTGCTCAAGCCAGAGAAATCCCAGGAGAATGCACAAAGGGCAGAAACCCCTATACTGCTTTTTCAGTTTTCTCATCACCTGTCAGGCTCCTGGGAAAATGTGACCCATATTCCCATCAAGTCCAGCTTTGCTTCTGTTTACCCAGGACAGTGATTCATCTCAAATGATGCAAATGGAAGAGCAACAGGTATAGCTGAAAGCATAGCTAACCTGGCTGGTGGTATAGCATGCACAATGCCTTGGGATCAATCCTCAGCACCAAAAATAATAGTAATAATGACTCAGTATGTCCAGGGCCTCTTCCCAGCCAGTTTTCACAGAGGCTCAGAGGCTGAGCTCGTGGGCATGGAATCTTGCCTCTTAACTACATGTGCCCGACCTGCCCTCACCTCCTTTTAGGGATGCTATCACTTCCAGGTCCCTGCCGAGTGCACTGTAGCATGTGATACCTCGTGTCTTCCTTCACACAACTGAACCATGCGTGGTCAATTGAGGGAAACAGAATTTATAGGTTGGCCGGTGACATAGGACAGGTCGCTCAGCATAGAAGGTGAGCCAGGCCAGCCGTTTACTATCTTGGGAAGTTGAAGTCTTGAGGAAGTCAGCAGTGGGAAAGTGGGAACCAGAGCTGAAAGAACTCATTAAGGGAGGACCAAGGGTCATGCAGTACTCTAGGGGCTATTCCTGGCTGGAGCCAGATACAGACCATCACTGTGGGGAAGTAGAGACTTGAGGGGAAGACAATGAGAGGACACAGAGCAAGTACAGGTATAGAGATATGCACCATGAGACAGGCTCTGCAATCCATAGACAGTAGAAGTAAGGTGTGGTGACCCAACAGTGAGAATCTTTTTCATACTGGAGCAAATTTGAGAAAAGTCAATGGCTTGGCAGATAGAATTTCTTAAAAATTCTAGAATTTTCTTAAAAATTCTGTGTTGAATCCAGCAAATAACTGTGTTTAATCTTATAACTTATACTATTTTTATTTAATACTGACATTTCAGTAGGAAATTTGATGGCTCTAATATTAACAGTGGCTTTAATAGTCTGAATATAGAGTTAATGGCAGGTAAAAAAGCATATGATTACGCTATACTTTATTTAAAGTACATATCCGTGAATCTCCTTTCTGAATACATACCTTGAAATGTCATCAGGGACAAGCCGTAGGTTGTAGGGATTCTTGGGAACTTTGTTGTCTTATTCTGTGCCATGATTTTTAAACTAACATATTTTTGGATTTAGTAATCTGGCTCAAAAAGCAAAACAATGTTACCATGTTTACCTTGAGCAGTATCAACCTCACCCTGTCCCTGACTCCTTCCTCCACTTCTATAAGTAAGTAATTTTAGTTTTTTAGTATCTTCCCACTGTTCTTAAGCAAATGCTGATACAATATTTTCTTTTTTTTTTTGTCTATACTTGGGTTTGAACTCAGGGTCCCATGCTAACTCTACCACTTGAACCATTCCTCCAGTCCTTTTTGTTTTGTTTTAAGTTATTTTCAGACAGGATTTTGATTTTTTACCCTGGGCCAGCCTTGGACTGTAGTCTTCCTACCTACCTCCCTGGTAGCTGGTATTACAGGCATGTGTCATCACACCCAGCCACCCAGCTTATTTGTTGGGAAAAGGCCTTGCTAACTTTTTGCCTGGACTGGCCTCAAACCATGATCCTCCAGATCTCTGCCTCCCAAGTGGCTGGGATTACAGGTATGAGCCACCTGCTGGGAGTAATATATATTCTTGTTTCTCCCTTTTCTTATACAAATTATCATCCCATCTTCACCATGGGTATTTTGCTTTTTTTTTTTTTTTCTCCTTATTAGAAATTTTGTAAAACAGAGGCCCTGGGTACTGGTCAGTTTATCATCACTGTGAGAAAATACCTGAGAAAAATGACTTAAAGGGCGAGAGATTTATTTTGGTTCACATTTTCAGAGGTTTCAGTCTCTGGTCAACTGGCTACATTGATTTTTGGCCAGGGGTAAGGTATCATGGCAGAAGGTGGCAGAGGAAAACTGCTCACCCGTGGAAGCAGAGAGATGAGGGGTCCAGAGACAGGATCTGCCTTCGAAGACATGCCTCCTAAGGTCACCTACTTCCTCCAACTAGGCCCACCTCCTAATAGCCCATTCAGCTGTGAACTCTTGATTTGATCACTTCTCACTGGTGCCATCAGCTGAGGGCCAGACCTTTAATATCTAAAGAGCGGGGACTCTTTACATCTAAACCACAGCAGCCTGGGTGTTGCTTTCAGTACTCACAGCATTCTCCCTCACCTGCAGATCCTGTTGCACCATGCAGCAAACTCTGTGAAAAGGATCTCCATGGAACTGGGCGGCCTTGCTCCGTTCATTGTGTTTGACAGTGCCAATGTGGACCAGGCTGTAGCAGGGGCCATGGCATCTAAATTTAGGAACAGTGGACAGGTGAGTCGTGTAGAATTTTTCAGGGTTTGGGGGTAGGAGGTCAATGTGTATGCTTTACAGAGATACTACCATGTTCATTGCCTTGCTGATCTCCTGGGTTCCTGCCTGCCTTTATTCTTCGTTCTTTCTTTAAGCAAACATTAGTGATTGCCTTCCTTTTTATTAGAGACTATGCTAGGCTTCAATAGGCCAAAGAAAAGTATAGTCTTTGGCTTCAAAGACTTTCTCAAATTGAAAATGTCTTTTAGTCAAACAGCTCTCTCTTCACTTCTTTCTCCTATCCTTTGAATGTGGCTGTGTTCATAGATTTCCCTCGCTGGACTTTTCTCTACTGAGCTGATACAATCGACTCCATAGGTATGAAACAGCCTTCAATAGCTAAGGTCTGACGATCCCTGTGTTAAGGGAAAGAAGGTAGGAAAATGAAGATTAGGGTGCCTAGAAAAACTGAGAACTCTGGTTCTGTGTTTGTGTCCTGTATTATAGGACCTGTCTGTGTTTCGCTTTTCCTGAGATGGGGGCATCAGAGGCACCCACGGCAGACCAGGCAAGATGCAGCACTGTACCCAGGGCATGGCCTAGTTGTCCTGGGGAAGTAGAGGATGAGCTCAAACTTCATAAGAAAGTCGTGAGTTAATAGATCTGGCAGGAACCTTCCAGTCATCTGATAGAAACCTTGAATTTTACAGATGAAACTCTGGAAAGACTAAATGACTTGAGGTCATCCATCCTGAGGAGTTGACATTGTGATCTGAGAGTACTATCTCCCAGTTTCTATACAAGGTGCTTCCAGGAGCCTGGCTTCTTTAGAAATATTCTTAAACATTTGGTACTTAAAAAGTACTGTCAATGAGCAATTTTAAATGCTTTCCAGAAATAAATACACCTGAAAAGTTATGTTGTAAAAGGAAAAGGTGAAATGTGTATTTTTTTGTATTAAACAGTTTTCATCCTTATTTTGACCTTTAGTGATTTTTTTTTAATTTATTTTTTTTATTTCTTTTATTCATATGTGCATACAATGGCCTTTGGTAATTAATCTCTCACTTTTCACATAACTTGAATAAGCTTGGCTTTTTTTTTTCCAGAAATAGGTATGTTTCTTTTTAAAAACACAAAAATGCCAATGTGTGTTGTAAAGCTACAACTTTGGATCATGTTGTTTTAAGCCAATAAAAATGCATAGGACACAAAATTGTATGTATACTTGTTTCTAGGAAAATGCATGATTAAGCAAAAGTCCAAGAAGCAAATTTATCAGTAATAAATGCATTCCTAGAATGTGGTTATATTTTATAATTTTAAGGTACAAGGTCTGATTAGAAAAAAATAAGCAAAGTCTTTTCAATGATTTAGGCTGACATGGAAGAATGGTCTGTGTCCATTTTTTTAAATGATAGATTCAGAAGCAGACATGGTGCATGATTATAATCTCAGTGCTGGGAGGATCATGAGTTCAAGCAGCCTGGGCTACATAAGGAGACCCTGTCCAAAGGAAAAGAAAAAGACAGATTCAGTCAAAAGCTTAGAAGGATTAAGCTGGAGGATATGTTAGTGTTTGCCCTCATTCCCTCTTTCCTCTTCTCTCTCTCACTGATGCATCACTGTCTCTCAGAACTGTTACAGTTTGTTTGTTTGTTTTCCTATTTGTTTAATAGCCATTTAGAAAAAAAAATTATTTCGATGGCTTGACCTCAGTGCATTTATTTTAGGGACCAAACCCACCTGGGGAGGTTGAACCCATGGTGAGAACCATCTGAGGAGGTGTTCTCACAGAAAGGTGGTGGCAGTCTTGTATTTCTTGATAGAATTAGTCACTTCTGAAAAACTGATTCTATAGCTTTGTTTTGTCTTCTGTCTAGACTTGTGTGTGCGCAAACCGATTCTTGGTGCAACGGGGTATCCATGATTCCTTTGTAAAAAAATTTGCTGAAGCAATAAAGAGAGACCTGCGTGTAGGGAATGGATTTGAGGAAGGAACTACTCAAGGCCCATTAATTAATGAGAAAGCAGTAGAAAAGGTAAGTCCATTTTATTATTTGCAGAAGAAAATTGTGAAAAAAATTTTTTCACAATCAAAAGCTTAACCAAGCAGAAACACTTTGGTCCCCAGCAAGTCTGTTTAGGAAACAATGGAGAAATATTTTAAAAAGTGAATTCCTCTCTGATCTCCACCTCCCAAGTAGCCAGGATTACAGGAGTGAGCCACCATGCCAGCCTCCAAAATGGTAAATCTTAACCCCGCCTTCCACCCCATCACCATGCCTCTAACAACTACAGATGCCTGGGTCCAATTTGAGGATATTATTGACTGTTAGTTTATCTGGAGTAAGTCCTAGGCATTGGTTTTTAGTTTTTGTTTTGTTTTGTTTGCTGATGCTGGGGAGCAAACCTAGGACCTCCCACAAGCTAGGCATGCACTCTATGTTAAGTGCCCAGATGATATAAATTTGCAGCCAGGCTGGGAACTATCTTGGACAATTTTTCTCCTATGTGGAAAAATTCCCCTCTAGATGGTGCCATACACCAGGCCTTCAAAAGAGCACTGCTCTGTAGCACTTAATCTCATGCAGATTTCTGTTTTGGTGGAGAGAAGTTTGGTAGAAAACATCTTGTTTGAAAACAACCTATCGATGTGGGAGTGTAGCTCAGTGGTAGAGCACTTGCCTAGCATGCACAAGGCAGTGGGTTCATGCCCAGCTTCCTCCACCCCCCTGCCCCCCCCCCCACACACAAAATGAAATCAATTTGTTTGGTTAGCTTTACATGTATACACTGTTACTGATTAGGTTCCAGGGAGAAGATATTGCACATCACACTTAATACGAGAAGAAAAGGGAAGAGCAGATTCTATTAGGGGGAAAAGGGTGGGACATTCTTAAGTTAATTAGAATTATTTTAAAAAATACAAATCATGGGCGAATGAAGATTTGTTGCACACAATGCTTCTGAAAACTCGCAAGGAGCATAGATTAAAAAGAGTGAGTCTGGATAGCTGAATGTGCCTATATTTCTCTCTTCTGAAACCCTTTAGAAAATTCAGCTGAAAATGAAAGGGACAAGGACTATAGTGCACCAAAAAGCCAAAGCAGATAGGCACTGCCCAGGAGAATGCCCAGGAGAATTTTTTTATAAAAAATAGGTGCCGTTTTTTACAATGAAGCCTTTCTCAAATTGGTTGATGTGGAGAATAAGAAGTGGATGAAATGAGAAATGGAGCTGGATGAATATACTTTCACACAGTTTTCCAGATTATTCCCACCTACCCCTCCCCACCACCAATACATACAAACCAGTAGAGGTATTTGTTCTGGGCAGCACAGTACTTCTGAAGAAATATAGAGTAACCTGCCTGGGAGGGCTACAGATTCAGAAATGAGGCTGTCCTGACTCTGCCCTATGTCAAGCTTACCTGGTCAGAATAAATAAACCCAAACTACAGTTGTCCTTCTCATCCAGGGAGTGAATAGAAACAGCAGAAGCCACCCATGCTACCCACCTAAACTGACCAGTCCAGTCCTTGATTCTGAAAGATCAACAACCAAGCTGTCATGATGCCTGTAGGGGAAACCATTAACACATAAGAGGAAGGGTTGGAAAGAACAAACAAAATAGATCAAGCAACAGGAAGGAATTTTCCAGGAAATTATGGTGTCCTCCAAGAGTTTTGAGAAAAGTAGCACCTCTATGAAAGAAGAAGCAAGTTCTGTGAAAACAAAGCAATGAAAGCAAAAAAGAGAGTTGAGGCTGAGCACATGACTAACAAAAGAATTCAGTAGCTAAAGATAAAAAATGAAATAGAAGAGAGCTGATAGAATTTAACGAGAAAGATAGAAAGAATGTGATAGAAATTTTAAAAATCAGAATCAATATGAGATAAGGGGAGCTATCCATCTTAGTCGGAAGAATTTTGAATGAGAGAATTGAGAGGGTGGGAAAAATACATTATTAAATAAATGATTAAAAAAAACAACTTGTCAGAGCTGGGGAAAACTAACTTAATTCTTCAGATCAAAAGATTTCACCAATTACCAAACATAAAAGAAGAACCTAGAAGCTTTCAGAGGGGGAAGAAGCTATCTTACAAAAACAGAACTATTTTTTAATCAGACTTTTCATCCACAACACTAGAAGTGAAGAAATGCACTCAAACTTCTGAAGAAAATTATTTGTTTTTTTCTTTTTTGTGGTACTGGAGTTTGAACTCAGGTCCTTCACCTTGAGTCACTCCACCAGCCCTATTTTTGTGAAGGGTTTTTCAAGATAGGATCTCCCAAACTGTTTGCCTGGCCCGGCTTCCAACTGTGATCCTCCTGATCTCTGCCTCCTGAGTAGCTAGGATTGCAGGTGTAAGCCACCGATGCCCAGCTTGGAGAAAATTATTTGGGGTCAAAATTCTGTAATCAAATTATGAATCAGGTGGAGTTCAAGATAAAACATCTGACAAGTAGTATAACAAAACTTAGAACTATTTCCAGTGCACCTTTTTCAAAGGTTAATCTTTTCTTTATTTTTGCTATGCTGGGAATCAAATCCAAGGCCTTGAGCAAGCTGGGCAAGTATTCTACCACTGAGCTACATACCTAGCCTCCAGTGTACCTTTTTGAAAACAACTATGTACACTAAATGTTTCAGTCAACAACTGGCCTTATATATGACAGTGGTTCCATCAGATTATAATGAGGGCTGGTTGAGTGATGCCAATGGTAGAGCACTGCCTAGCAAGCGAGAGGCCCTGAGTTCCAACCCCAGTACTATCAAAAACAAAACAAAACAAAATAAAAAACTAAAAGAGCCAGAAGATTATAATGGAGCTGAAAAACTCCTATTGCCTAGTGATGAGGTAGCATTCTAACATCCTAGAACAATGGACTATTCATGTGTTTGTGGTGATTCTGCTGTAAACAAACCTACAACTGCACGGTCAGTCATATAAAAGTATAGCACCTACAATTATGTATACTATATAATACTTGATAATGGCAAATGATTATGTTACTGGTTTATGAATTTACTGTACTTTTTATCATCATTGTAGCACATATGCCTCCTTATAAAAAAAAGTTTGCTGGAAAGCAGTGTGTTACCTGGAAAGCAGCCTCATATACCTCTTGATTGCATTATTTTCTCTCACGTTTGATTTAATCTCATATTTTATTTATCATAGCCCTCCGTGCAATAGGCTATACCATATTCATACCATATAGGCATGTGTGTAGTACGCTTACCATCTAGGTGTGTGTAAGTACACTCTGTGATGTCCATACAATGATGAAATCAGCTAAGGACACATTTCTGGGGACAGATGTATGCTTGTCTGACTGTACTTGAGAATATACCAGTATACAATGAAACTTGAGCTAACCCCAAGGTGTAGTAAAAGCAAAGCCCAGAAAAAAACAACCAAGCAGCAGGCCGAGAAAGATATCAGTATGTAATGAGCCACAAATAGCATGGTCAAACAGCTGGAAAATCAGAGAGCGGGGACAAAGAAGGCGTGGGCACGTTGTGTTCTGTCTTAGTGCTTCTGTATTTCTGCAAATGAAGTTCCTTAGGAAGCAGGATGGTTAGTTTTAGCCTATTTTAAAAAGAAAAAGAAAAAAGACAAATTAGTTTTCTGCATCTTAAACATTCATTTGAAAGTGTTCTCAACCAAATGTTCTATTTCTCATCACACAGGTAGAGAAACATGTGAGTGATGCTGTTTCCAAAGGAGCCACTGTGGTGATGGGCGGGAAGCGACACCAATATGGAAGAAATTTCTTTGAGCCCACCCTGCTCAGCAATGTCACCAAGGACATGCTTTGTTCTCATGAAGAGACTTTTGGGCCTCTGGCACCAGTTGTCAAGTAAGATCTTCCAGCCAGTAGGAAGATGGGAGAAAAACTAGAAAAGAAAAAGGAAACCTAACCAGGGACCCCTGGGGTATTTTGAGAGCTGGGTGGGGAGGACAGTGGGCAGGTAGAGAGGCAGGAAACTACTGGGCCAGCTAAAGGGCAAAGTTCAACTGGACTTTTTGTTTTGTTTGGTTTTTGGTTTTTGTTTTTTTTTTTTTTGAGACAGAGTCTTTCTGTATAACCCTGCTGGCCTCAAACTCACGATTTTCCTTCCTCAGCTTGCTTAAGCCACAAAATTTATGAATTTTTTTTTAATTTACTTTTTTCTTGCTTTCTGCTGAATTTGTTTTTCTTCTTATGGAGTCCATCCTCAAAGGGTTCTTTCATGGAAATCTGTAGAAAATGAATTGTCTGTGACCTTTTATCATCTTTTATCTCACATTCACAAGTAAATAATAATTTGCCCGGATAAAACTCTAGGTTCAGCCCTCTGATGATGTCATTTCTTATCTATCTATGTCCTGGGTTTTGGCTGAGAAATCTGATGTCTGGTTCTTGCTCCTTTGAAAAAGATCTCTATTTTCTCTTTGGGAACTTTTAGAACTTCTCTTGGTCTTTGATATTTTTACATTTTATTGTAGTAACTCTAGGATGGTACACTGTGAGCTGTTTCAGTCTGGGATCTTAATGTCTTTCTTTAATATCTAAAATGTTCATTCAGTCCTGGGAAATTCTTGGTCATTATTTCTCCAGATAGTTGCCTTCTGTCCATGAATCCTTTTGTAGCCTTCCAAGAAGAGAAAATTCTACGTCCGTCCTCCACATCTCTTCACTCATTTGTTCATTCCATCTCTTCATCTATTCCTAAGGCCACCTTGAGAGTTCTTCCCCATCTGTCATTCTTTCTACCATCTGTCATTCATTCTTCAACCATACAACCCAGCTACCAAGTTCTTTAACTCAACAGTTATTTTTTGCATCTGTGATCTTTCCAGTTGACTCTTCATCATAACTGATTCTTCCTGTTTCATTATTCTCCCTTATCTTGCTGTGGATATTTACCTCTTCTTACATTTGTATGCTGGTCCACTATATCTGTATCCTCTGGTATAGACTGTGATGTTCGTTATTTTTTACTTCCTCAGATGTCTTGTAATTTTCCCTGTGAACTCAATCTTTTGCCCCTTGAACTGTTAGTAACCTTGGTTTGTAATATCTGAAATGGAATTGTGGTAAAAAGCTTAGAATTCAGTATGTGCTCCCTCTGATGTGTTTGGATGCAGCAAAGAGCTGATTCTAAGGGAGAAAGGGGACCTCTAGTATTAAAATCCAATGTCAACTGCTGCTCACACTGCCCCAGGTATCCTCCTCCAGCCTTCCCCCCCCAACCCACTGGGGTGTTTTGCAGTTATCTCTATTGTAATAGGCTGCTTTCTGCCTCTGCCCACACTTGTTTTGTGTGATTGGTGTGCCATCTGGGCTTGGGCATTGACTAGGTCCCTTTCTTGCCCCATAGCTATATAACATGGATCCAGGAATCTGGACCTGAAGGCAGGATCATCTGATGGAATGGGAGGGTATAGCCTGGCCTCCACAGGCTCTGTGGACCTCATGCCCTGCTTACCCCTTACGTGGGTAACCCCTAGCTCTCCCCTGATGCCATCATTCCCCCCCAGGATCTAGCCACTTTCTTTGTCTCCAGAAGTATCTGGCATTTTTGGTGTTTGTGACTGATTGGGTTTGTTTGTTTGTTTGATTGACTGGTCTTGTGCCATGATTCTCTTTCTCCCCTTGCATCTCCAGCATTGGGTTTACAGAGCACACTGGCAACTGCTGCCAGCGATGCCATCTTGTCCAGGACCAGAGACCTTTCTTGTCTCATTCTTTCTGGGCTTGTTACCATCTTGCTCGTTATGTTTATATATTATTCCACAATTGGGGAAATGGACCACTTGAAGAACAGCCATCTCCTTTGTTTTAATGAAAATGTTTTACCTAGAATATGAACCACATATTCCACTGGACACTGAAAGAATGCAGGCTTTGAAGAGAGTTGATTTGGGTGTCAATTCAGGCTCTACTCCTCCATCGCTGTGAGCCCTTTGGCAAGTTAACTTCTCTGAGCCAGCTTTCCCCATCCCCCTCAGCAAGCCCTGCAGAGAGACAGCTGGCTCCTCCTGCTGGCAGATCTCTAAATTTAGGAATTGGGGTGCTCAGAACCTTGTGCCCCAGTTACAATTTTGGAGTGACAGAAAAATAACACTCAAATCTCGTTCCTGAAATAAAGTTACAAAGCAGGAAGAGCCTGTAGAGGGCTTTGGTACAGCTCCTTCATTTCAGAGAGGAACAGACTTCAAGTACCATGATGTGAAGCAGTAGGAAGTGGTAGAGTCCATGTCAGAATGTGGCTTTGACCCCTGCTACTTTCTTTCTACTGCATTGTGACTGCAGCTAAAGTAGTTGCTGTGATTGTTGTATATTCTTAGCAGGCACCACGAACAGTAATCATTTTCTTAAGGGATGTTGTGTGATAGTCTGGATATGTCATAGTTGGTCTACTTTCTCCCAGTTCTCTTATTAGACCTGAGGCCAGTATCGATTTGAACTTGTCAGCTGTGAACCGTAAGCTTGGTGACTGGTACTGTTTTCTTCTGTTCTCTGCCCTGAAATCTCTTTACAAAACTCTGATGTACTTCTTGCCATTATTGAGAAAACAAATCAGGAAATTTCTCTTCCCCCTGCAAATTTTGCTTATGGCCTATTTTAACTTTGGCAGGTTTGATACAGAGGAAGAAGCTATCGCGATTGCAAACGCAACTGACGTTGGGTTAGCAGGTAGGTGTTTGTCCTTGTTCAGCAACAGTCAGTCATTTTCTCAAGCAAATGTCAGACTTTGTCTCTTAAACATTAACCTGGCTTTTGAGAAAGAAACTTCAACAGAGTGTTTTGTCACTTTCCAAGTGGCAAGGGTAGATTTATACAATTACATGTTTTTTGCCTTGTCTCCAATAATACACACTAGGGAGCTTTCTGATCAGAGCTAGGAGAGCAATGAAGAGAAGAGAAGTGCAGATTGTTCTAAGTAGAGAATTACATGCACCTCAGAAGTCTCATGTTCTCAGAGGCAGAATGCCCAGAAATTTCAAATGCTTTTTCTCGCATTTTTCCTGTCTCCTGAAAGCCTGAGCAGAAGAGGAAGCCTTCAGCCACAAGGATCAGCAAAGACAGTCAGGGATGGTGAAAGGCATGAGATTGTGTATGCAGATGGGACAGCATGGAGTAGCTGCCATTCTTTCATTTTGGAGATGATCAGGTGGGCACCAAAGGTGCCCTGTGACCCTGAGAAAATTAATTATTGACATCAATAGTGAATGCAGTATTTGCAAAGATACAAAGACATATAAGATACAGCTATAGCTCTGTAGACCTCTCCACTCTAGGTGTAAGAACTATTTATAACAAGAGGAAGGATAAGGATGCTGTGCAGTCTCCCAGGCCATGTTTCACTCTCAGTTATCACAAAGCTGGAGTAAGATGTGCACACAGGGGCTTCTCTAACACCAAGCTCAATACTTGTTTCTTCCCTTGTGGAGGAAGCCACACCTTGGGCAGCATCATAAATGATGTACAAGATGCCAATTGTGGAGAAATTCTGGGCAGAGATGACCAAGGGGGTTCAGAAACAAAGTAAGAAAGGATGAGGAGAACTGAGTAATTGAGTTTGGAGATGATGGTTGGTGATTGGAGTATTGGATGGTACAGCTGGAACTGTTGTTTAAAATCTACTGGGTGATCACCCTCTAGGGAGTTTAGCCTTATTTCATAGATAATGGGGAATTGCCTAAGTCCCCATTTTTTGCAAAAATGTCTTATGGAAATCTAATTGAGGTGTTCAGGATGAATTAAAAAGTAAAAGAAAAAGGATCCAGGGATATCATGGTTACAATCCTGACCGAAGGAAAAGAGCCTAGCAAGAGAGAAACTGAAGCACAAGATGATTTCCCCAGGTCTTAAAATAAAGAAGTGGACAGTACCAACTTGGGGCTTTATCTGGGAGCAGGAATTTCTAGACCCAAGTGATGAGGCAAATAGTCATCAATGATGTCCTCAGCTTTAGATGTGATGTTTTTAATGAATACTCCATGTGCTGTGTATGTTCTTTTATCCCTGTGCCAGGTTATTTTTACTCTCAAGACCCAGCCCAGATCTGGAGAGTGGCAGAGCAGCTGGAAGTTGGCATGGTTGGTGTTAATGAAGGAATGGTTTCCTCTGTGGAGTGCCCTTTTGGTGGGGTGAAGCAGTCTGGCCTTGGACGAGAGGGGTCCAAGTATGGCATTGATGAGTATCTAGAAATCAAGTATGTGTGTTATGGAGGTTTGTAGGAATCTTCACTTCTTTAAAAAATAAAAAAGGAAGTTTACCTACGTATATGGGGACATGCCATCCATTATTTTAAATAAACTATTAGTTTATAGAAATTATGGATTTTTCAAAACTCCACCAGTCTTAAGCAGATACAATTCCTACCCCTTCCCTTACCTAACTAGGGACCAATATGTGCCACATGCCCATGGCTGCAGACGACAGGAGAGCTAGCACTGGGTTTGTAGAATGAAGTCCTGGGACCCCAGCACAGCCACGACTGCCTCATAACAAGGTGTGGTGTGAGGTGCCTGTGCTTTGGTTCCTCACAAGGGTCTGATCACTGCCTGGGCCTTGGCACACCATCCCTGAATGGGTCCAGACTGCAGAAAAGGAGACCACTGGGTATGAATGGAAGGTGGGTCAAGGGGGCTCAGCACTGAAGATACATACTGTATATTCAGAGGTGTGTGGCACAGGCTGAACTAATCATTTTTTTGATAAAGCCGTCTAAATAGCACAGAGTTGCTTGTGCTTCTGTGCAGAATGAAGGAGCACTTCTCCCTGTTTCTGGGCCACTGTTTAAACTGAAGTCTTCTTTGTGCTAAATTTACTGCTTAAGCTTTACTTTGTTTTCTTTAGAAAATGATCCTAAACTGGGAGCAGAGGTTAGCAGAGGCAGTCTGTACAATGAAAGGCTTGTAATCTCTCAGCCTGGCTCCTGCCTGAGTAGTTTGTTACCTTGAATATGCTGTTCAGCTCTTCACATCTCATGTGAGATTCTAGTGTGGCCTTACTTAACTCGATGGAGATTGTGAGCCTAGGAGAAAGTGAGCATACTTCCCAAAACAGTGAAATGCAGTGTTATGCAGGAGCCATTTTTATTATTAGCAGCACCCCCCAGCCCCCACTCCATGGCTTCACCAAGACCAGGGAGGCCAGTGCCCACCTTCCAACCCGCCAAGCCTGAGTAAGTCCTAGTGTCATGCTTCTTCACTCCAAAATTGCAAAACTACCTTCACCACAATATCTCAGAAGGGAAGAAAACTTCCCACAATTGTCAATCCACTTTCTGGAAAAGATGTGATGCCTTGAATTGCAGGCCCCTTTTACCTAATAAGAGCACCTACACTTCATTATTCAAAAAATACACAAAAGGCAAAGCTCCCTATGACTGGTGTTGGCTCTCTCTCACCCTGAAAGAAAAACTCTAATTAGGGAAATTCTAGGTTCTTCTGGACATGCCTGCCATCCACCTAGAAGCTGTTCTGGCTCTTTCCTCCCCTTCTCTCTGTGTGTAGAGTCCACTCCTGTTCTGTGGATACTCCAGATGGGGAATGGAAAATGTGAATGAAAGCAGTGCTGGCTCAGTTACTCCTGAACTCCACCCAGTCCTTAACACCCCTCTCTGAGCCACTGGAGAGCTGTGATAAAGTAATTAAAAGTGTAGGAAGTCCCTGTGCAGGGGTGCCTCCAGTCCTACAGCTGCTATTGTCAGGCAGGGACAATACCTGCCATTTTCCCAATACCTGCCATCCCCCCAAGACTGGAAGAAGACTCTCACAAGAGTCACATACTCAGCATGTTGACAGATAATTTACACCCTTTATTTGTATAGTTTTTACATGGTTTTCTAATTGTTTAAGATTCCTGTATCTTTTGTCTTGTTTATCTTTTTTCTAGTAAGAATACAAATTCTCTGATGTTATTTTTTAGGAGTTGAATATGCATGTTGAAATATGTGGAAGAATACTTTCAAATACACATCTAGCTTTGTGAGCCAGTGGATTCCTTGACTGGGTGGAACATTTAAAAAATTTTCTTTCCTATTTGGCTCACTAGGCCCATAAATTGAAAATCAGAACTCATTGCAGTATCTGTGATCAGTTTTGTAAATAAAATAATCAGTGGCCGGGTTTGGGGGGGGGCTCAGTGGTAGCAGATATACTTAGTATGCTCTAGGCCCTGGATTTAATCCCCAGCACCACTGAAAAAAATTTAAAAGTAATTTGAAAAGGAAATAGTATATTGTTTAGTAAAATGGTTCTGAATTGTGGGAAGAAGGAAAGGTGTTTTTATTTTTTAATTTTTGTTTTTTGGTTTTTGGGTTCTTTTGAAAGTTTTAGCAAGCATTTATTTTAATAGGACAAAGTACAGACAAAGGGAGGAGGTTTGCAAGAAAGACAGAGAAACATTTCCTCCCCTCATGCAGGAAATGGGAGCAAAGAGTCCTATTTTTTTAGAAATGAGATCTCACCTTTGCCCAGATTGGCCCTGAACTCTGGGGCTCCAGTGATCCTCCTGATTCAGCCTTCCAAGAAGCTGCGATTACAGGCTTGTAATTCCAGACTGGAAGTGTTTTCAAAGGAACATTTTTTAATTGTTTTTCAATAAGGTAATCATATGTGATACATAGGATTAAATGTGTGTGTGTGTGTGTGTGTGTGTGTGTGTGTGTATTTTTGCAAAATGAAATAGAAAAGGATCAGGATTGGCAAACTACAGCCCATCAGCTAAATTTTACCTACCACTTCATGTGTTCCCATGAACTAAGAATAGTTTTATATTTTCAAATGGTTAGAGGAAAAATTAGAATAACAATAGTGTTTCATGATACACAAAAAGTATGTGAAATTCAGATTTCAGTGTCTATAAATAAAATTTTATTGGAACACAGCCACACCCATCCATTTATGGATGCTGCTGCTCGCTTGGCAGAGTTGAATAGGTGTAATGAGGCAGTAGGGCCTGCAAAAGCTAAAATATTTACCATGAAGCTCCTTACAGAAAAAGTTTGCCAGCCCCTGATCTAGATCAAGAGGAAGCTACTGACCTTCCAGTGTGTATTAGGTATTATTTCATTTTATTGGGCACCTCCTGTGTAGAAGTTCCCAACAGGAACTTTGCAGTAACTATCATGTAACTCAAGTGAAATTGCCCAGATAATAAGAATCTGTTGGCCTGGAAAAAACACTTGTTGATTTACTTTCTCCAGCTGTTCAGGGAGCCTCATTTAAAGAGCTTATCTGTATCTTTATCATTGGAGGGACTTTTGGATTTTATGTCATATGCTTGTTTCTTCCTTCCACATCTGTGTTCTGGAGTGGGTGAAAATAAAGATCAGAAGCACAATGTAAACAAATCTATGTTATTGTAAACTGGTATTATGAACTTCAAATTGTGCCACACAACTTTGTTCTCTAAAGACTGGAATTTTAATTGCCCATGTAGGACTATTTTAAATAGCATTTTACTTGAATAATACGTAAGCTATGATTGTGATTCTATATTTTGTGGAATAAAACTTGGGAATTAATGGGAAATGTATAAAAACTTTTCTGTTTAAACATGGGCTCATAACTCATTTTTCTAGTTTTTCACATTGTATGTTTCAGTCATTGTATGACTCTCTGTTGTCAGCAGAGTTGTGTGTATGTCATTAATAAATGTTGAATTAACAGAATTTCCTACTTCTCTTAAGGTGTCTGGGTGTGTTTTTTTCTTACCAGATTAGCATTTGAGTTTTTATTGGATAGCATTAGACCAGTTTGGATACAAGTAAAATAGTGCTTCCTCATCAGAGAGCTGCTCTCCAGTGAGCATCTTGAAAGCTTCATTGTGAAAGTTTTTACCCTAGTGCCTAAAGGGTTTTAGTGCTCATCAGAAGTTTGTTTAACTGAACTGAGAATTTATGGCTTGCAGGTGTAGCTGCCTAAGAAAGCGTAATTTTCCAGCTGTCTCAGATTCACCTGCCTATACATGCTCCACCATTAGCCACGTTTTTGAGAGTTTTTATTTTTTGTGCAAAAAATGAGTTGTCCCTACATAGGGTAGGGCATCATACGGCAAGAGATCTAGCCGAACTGGCTTTTACAGCAGACCACTCTCAACCCATTAGTCCATTGATTGCACAAATGGACTAGTACATTATGAAGGCAGAGCCCTAATCTCTTTTTTTTGTGGTACTGGGGATTGAACTCAGGGCCTCGTGCATACTAGGTGAACACTTAACCACTGAGCTACACCCCCAGCCCCCTAGTCACCTCTTAAAGGTCCCATCTAATCCCACTCCTATGCTTGCAGATGGCCGCCTCCTCATACATCCCCACATGGTCTTTCCTCTCTGCATGTGGGTCCTTGTTATCCCTTTGTAGGTCCTAATCTCCTTATGACACCAAAAAGACTTAATTAGAGCCCACCCTGACCCCCTCTTCTTAACTTAAAGGCCTCATCTCCAAATAGTTACATTCCAGAGTATGGAGGTTACGACTTCAAGACATGGAATTTGAAGAAGTACAATTCAGCCCATTAAACTGAGAAACAAGCAAAAAAAAAAACCGTTCACTTTTAGTAATAGAAAGTGAGTTGACAGCTGTCACTGTGACAAAATACCTGAGATAATCAACTTATAAACAAGAAGGATTTATTTTGACTCACATTTTCAAAGGTTTCAATCCATTGTTGGTTGACTGCTGCTTTGGTCTGTGGTGAGGCAGAACATCATGGCAGAGGAAAGCTGTTCCCCTCATGGTGGTGGGGCAGAAAGGAGAAGGAGGGCTGAGATCCCAACATCCTCTTGAAGGCACTTCCCCAAAGAGGTAGCTTCCTTCAAACAGGCTCTACTGCCTCCCAGTAATGTCAAGGGCCAGAGACCATGCCTTCAACACATGGGCCTTTGGGAGACATTTTAGATCCAAATAATAACAGAAAGTCATCATTGTTGAGTTATACAAATTTGATTCATTTACTGGTTTTTTGTTTTTTGTTTTTAGAAATCACAGTTTTGTCTCTCAGTCAATGAACACAGAATTCCTAGAGGTCTGACAATGAACTAGGAGCCATTTAATTCACTTTACCTAACTACAATAACCCCACCCTCATTTCCAGCAGTTTTTCCTCCACGAGTGTCTACCTCACTCAAACTTTTAATACATTGGGGTCAGCAGCTCGGAAAGAACTTCTGGAGAGTGTAAAGCTCCAAAAATGGATGCACACAGTATAACTATTGACATGAACTCTAGAATTCAAGTTAATCTATAGTGAGTGCTAGGGAAAGGATAGACTACAAAGTGTCATGAGGAAATTTTTGGGGGTGATAATTTGCTCATTAGCTTGATTATGGTGATGGTTTTATGAGTGTGTACATACATCAAATTGTATGAAAGTGTACTCTGTCATTTCTCTTAAGTGAATTATACCTCTACATGGTATTTATTATTGATAAAAACCAAGTTAGGGGGTGTACTTTAAATCATACACGTTCCTGAATTTGAGCACCCCACCACCGCCGCCTCCAGTCCCCACGTCTTCTCCAGCAGGGTGCAGACAGTCACAGAGTGACTACTCAGAGAGGAGAGAGACTGAACAGAAAGTGCTCAGGAGGTGTGACTCTAGGCTTTAGGAAAAATAAAAAGTCCAAAAAGAGCCAGATATTAAATACTTTAGGCATTGCAGACAGTTCCAATCAAAGTCTCTTAATTATGTTGTAATGTAAGAGTAGCCACAAGTATTATACAAAAGGATGAATGGGGATGTGTTCCAATAAAACTTTATTTATGGACACAAATCTGAATTTCATGTAGTTCATGTGATACAAAATATTTTATTTTTTTCAACCATTTAAAAACACAAACCACATCTTTTTTGACAAATGGGACATGTGAAAGCACGCTGCAGGTGATAGTTTTCTGACCCATATTCAAGGGAAACCTCTCTACATGCAGGCATGAAGAAAATACAGGCTGGGGATGTAGTTCAGTGGTAGAGCACTTTTCTAGCACTCGCAAGGCCCTTGTTCCATCCCTAGCACTGCAAAAACAAATAAATATTTATATAAGAGTTACAGAAAACACAGACATCTTTATTTAGATTAGTGCATACCTTTAATAGTTACATGAGAAGCAGCATCTTGTAAACACATGGGGAAAAATATTTATTTTCAACAATAAAGTCAGGTCTCAGAGTCCATGATAGCTTGGTCACACACAAAAAGAATGGTCTTCCAACTCCCCAGCATCAATGGTGGCATCACAGGCATGTTGAGTATACATTTCCTCATCTTGAAAAATTTTAAGAAGGTTCCACTCTGGTCCTCTTAGGAGGAGTGAGGAACAAGAGAGGACCTATTTTCTGATCAATACTACAATGTTTATTTTTGATGCACCAAGATTCAAGATTCTTCTGTGGTGGAAAGATCATAGAGGCCAGGCTGAGATAGCCAGGGTCAGAAAAGGAGGGACAGAAGCAGCACATTGCAAACCTAGAGGAAGGGTCCATGTGATCCAAAAGGAGAGACTGGGCGGGCCATCTATTCCTTTGTCCTTTGCTCTCAGACACATTAAGAGGACATAAAGTGATAAATATTCACTCCCTTCTTCATTATACTCTATGATTTTATATTTGGACTGCTATTCTCCATGCCAGAAATGTTCAATTGATCATAAAAATAACATAACCCTGGTCACTGGGTAGGGCAGATTCTAAGTTTATGAAGTAAACACGAGCATAAAAAGCATCACATTTTCTTTCTAACATTACAGATAGTACTGAATTGGCTAATTATACAAAAAGTATAGGCATAAGCAATTATTCTCAAAGTAGAATTATATCTACAATTTCCCAGTAAAGTATAATACAGTGGTCTCCTCTTACCCATAACTTTGCTTTCTGTGGTTTCTGTTACCCGTGGTCAACAATGGTCTGGAAATATTGAATGGATAATTCCAGAAATAAACATAAGTTTTAAGTTGTGTGTTGTTCTAAGTAACAAGATGTGTCATGTTATCCCACAAAGTCCAGCCTGGGAAATGATCACCCCTTTGTCTACTGTATCCACACTATACATGCTACCTGCTCATCGGTCATTTAGTAGTAACCAACTCAGTCACCAAGTTGACTGTCTCAGTCTTGCTGTACTGGTGTTCAAGTAACCCTTATTTTACTTAACAGTGACCCAAAGTACAAAGTAATGATGCTGGCAATGTAGATATGCCAAACAGAAACCATAAAATGCTTCTGTTGAGTGCAAATGTTCTTAACTTAATAAGGAAAGGAAAAAAATCATATCCTGAGAGCTATGGTAAGAAAAAAAATCCACAAAATTGTGAAGAAGAAAACAGAAATTTGTGCTTGTTTTTCTGTCACACCTCAAACTGCGAATGCGATGAGCATAGTTTGTAATAAGTGCTTAATTAAGATGTAAAAGGTTTTATATTTTATGTTATAGGATAAACCATAGCATATATAATGTTTGATATTATCCATGGTTTCAGTATCCACCAGGGATCTTGGAATGTACCCTCCTCAGTAAGTGTTATTATTATAATTAAAAACAAGATGGTCCCACGAGTATGAATGTTCCTGGAGATAACAAAAGTACCTGAAAGCTCAATTTCTTTAAGAGCCTATGAAAATTGTTTGCACTAACCCTCCTACTTGATGGTTAAAATGTTTTGCTTCTCCTCTTAATCAGCAGAGAAACCCTAGCCTGCTCCCATGTCACTAAAGCATTGTGCAACAGGCTGTTGTTTAGGGGTGATCACATTTGATGCCCCAACATGGTCTGTCTCTCCTTCTGCTCATCCCACAAAGAATGCAGGGTATTGCCAAGATCAGCAGACTCAGAACTCTGGGTGGGGAAACTTCCATGAGCCAATATCGTCGGTTACAATTAACTCAATCAACTCAAGGTAATTGCTCTGAGATGCTGTTTTGTGAAAGGAAATGGTTTGATTTTTTCCATATGATTAAAATAAGATTTGATAGAAAAATGGTTTAACAAGTATCTTTTTAAACATATGAAATGAAGGTTATGTCCAGTTATTTATGGAAAAAACTTGTAGTAGCTCAGAGCATCATGACCATGTCATCTTCCTTAAGACTGTATTTCAACTTGGGATGCAAAGACAAGGATGCTCATGGTTTGAGGCCAGCTTGGGCAAAAAGTTCACAAGACTCCATCTCAACCAGTGGTTGGGCACAATGGTGCGAACCTTTCATCGCAGCTCTGTGGGGAAGCACAGATAGGAGCTTTTTGCCAGGGCATAAAGCTAGACTAGTACTATCAAAAATAACCAATGCAAAAAGGGCTGGTGAAGTGGCTCAAATGGTAGAGCACCTGCCTAGCAAGCATGAGGGGCTGAGTTCAACCTCCAGTCCTGTCAAAAAAAAAGACTGTACTTCAGAGTTTAGGAATATATACACGGTTACTGAGTGATTACCCCTATCTATGGCAGTCCTATAGTATACACTCAATCAATGTTTAATGAATAAACAATCACTTTTATAATAGTTAATATAAATTGGGGCTAAGAGAGACCTCAGTATAGTTAGTTTTTCTTCTAAAAATAAAGAACGTTAAATAATGCCTTCAATTTTCAACCTTACAAATCAAAAATATTAAGTCTCTCCTCCCTTTCTACTGCCTCCTTCCTTAGAATACAATTCTCTCTTAGCTCTTGAACTTCAAGACCCACTGTCTATAGAGCAATGATGATAGTTGGCCATAGCAAAAGAATAAAACGTGAAGGCTTTGCTCTGTGTGGTGTCACACCCAGCACAGAAAGCATGCTACACAGACAGCTCATGCCACTTTACACACTGTCTGACTCTGCAGGCCCTACAAGAGAAATCATGTTTGGACCTATGTCCTTAAAGGCAATCACACCTACTGGGAGAGAAATCACCCCTCTTACAAGTCTATGAATAGAAACAGGTGTAAACCTTTATTTTAATATGGGCAAAATAATATAGTGCCCACTACAAAGACACAGAACTCTTTTTAAGTACATACCTTAGAAGATTTACACAGTCTTTAATCCTATTAACAAGCATTCCAGTTAAAAGATCAGTATTGTGTTTAGTTTCCTGTCTCAAAAATCCCAAGAAACTGGGTCTTCTAATATGTGGGACACACATTCAGCCCATTGTGAAAAGTCGCTAATACGCTCTGCAAACAAGAGTTAGTTCTGTTTTAACTCCCACTGACTGGTCCTGGAGTCAGGGATTCCTGCAGGTTCCTCCACTTCACAGCTGCCCCATTATCTGTCCTTTGAGCAATAACTGAAGGAATCTCCGTTCCGGATGGAGCCATTCAGAGAAATCTTTGGATTCCCTCTGTCCATCCTCTCTCGGCTAAAGATTGTGTCCTGGTCACTGTCAAACTCAGACTCCGACACCATCAGGCTGGAGTTGTGCTCTGTGCTTCGATGTTTAATACCTAAGGAGCAAGGTAGAGCATCTTAGGAGAACCCACCTTTTCCGCTCAGTGATTCCGGTTGTAGGTCATGTGAGGGCGGAGTTGTGTCCTCCAACCTTCAACGCAGTTACTCCCAACACAGCAGGTGGTTTGACACTTAGCACCTGCGTGGCCCTGGGAAAAACACCTCACCCCTCTGGGCTTTTTTCCTCATCTATTAAACTGATAGATAACAAGGCATCTACCCTTTGAGTTTATGGAGAGGATTAAGTGAAACTGTATCTAGAAAACTCTCGGCCCAGCATTTAGCACAGGGTAAGCACTCGATAAATGAAAGCTGTAGAAATTTTGCTACTTAGTTCAATCAAATAATTTTGGTAGATGAATTGATTTTGAAGGTGAAAATAAGAGACAGACCAGGAATAAGGTTATTCCTGCTCTCAAAAAACTGAACAGTGTCTAGCTAGAGTGTTACAACCTCAACCCATGAAAAGATGTCTCAAGTAAGAAATAAAAAATGCTACATAAATCAAGAGGAGACAAGCACATACTGGTGGCTGGGACTGCTTCAGTGATGTTCCACATAGGACGGAATTTGAAGAAAAAGGAAGATTTTGGTGAAAGACAGAGGAGGGATAGAGGGTATTCCAAAACATTCAGAAAGGCTTAGAGAAAACCAGTGTGTTTGGAACAAATGATCTATATGAGAAATAATGGATGACAGTCTGGAGAGAAAGGCTGGGACCTCACAGAGAAGCATATGAATACAAGATAAACCATGAAGTTGGGGTTTTACACCATAAGCAGGAGAATAACATATTAAAAATTGTTTTAAGATATTAATAAAATCACAATGTGCAGAAATGAAAAAGAGGGGTGGCCACTGAAGAGCTGACCATAGACATAGGAGATGCTATGGTCTGCATGTGGTATCTCCCAAAATTCTTGTGTTAAAACCTAACCCCCAAGGTGATAGTACTGGAAGGTAGGGCATTTGGGAGGTGATTGAAAGGGATTAGTGCCCCTATAAAAGAAGCATCAGAGAGCTGCCTTGCTCCTTCCACCATTTAAGAAGGAAGGAAGGTACCACCCACGGGGAACTGTACTCTATCAGACACTGAATCTGCCAGCACCTTGACATTGGACTTTTCAGGGTTTCTGAGCCTCCCCATGTATGGTATTTTGTTATAGCAGCCAGAATGGAATAAGACTGGGTCAATGCAGTGTAGAGGAAGAGAACTCAGGCTCTTCTGCAAACAGTCTACTCCAAGCCATCTTGGGTACTCAGCTCTGTTACTTGGGCTTGTTGCTAAACATTTTCCACTTCTGTAAAATGGGGGATTAATCATAGTACATTCCTCATAGAGTCATCAGTAGGATTAGAATGAAATAGGTTGAGTGTCCTGAAAATACCTAGTATGTATGAAATATTAAAGACCAGCTAACTAGTGTTGTTACTGTTAGTCCAAAGGTGACACTAGAATGACCTGAACTAGGGTGGTGAAGATAATGAGGAGGCAAGGGTGGTCATCCACACTGTAATCCCAGGTACTCAGGAGGCAGTGGTAGGATGATGGTAGCTCAAATATGGTCCCAGATCAAAACATGAAACCCTATCTAAAAGCAAACTAAAGCAAAAAGGGCTTGAAGTGGTAGTTGGCTCAAGTGGTAGAAGCCCTGAATTCAAACCCCAGTACCACCCTCCCCCCCACCACAGAAAAAAGACACCAGGCAAGATAAGGTGGCTAGATAGAATGGGGGCAAGGTGGAGTGTCAATGACTAAGGTTCTAAACCTGGGTAAGAAAAAGAATGGGCTTCTATGAAAAGAAACAGGAGTGTCAGATAGATGGGTGTATTTTAGGTAGAAGGTGGGTGAGATAATACAATCCAAAGCACTTTGAGCATTTAGCTATAAAGTGATTTTATAACACCCTGGACATTAAATTATATAGTACTTGTAAATGGCAAGCACTCAGTAAATGCATGCTACTGTTCACATTTTCTGTGAAGCTTTGCTGTTAAAACCTCTTCACTACACTCTCCATATAGTCAGTCATTCTGCTTCTGCATTTCCTGCAGGCATCATCTGTGCTCCTGCAGGACTCCCTGCTCTCCCCTACGATGACCCTCCCTCAGGTTCAACTCCTGGAAAGGCAGGTACTAAGCTTCCTCACCCCCATCTCCAGGGCTACCTGTTGACTGTGCATAGGCCAGGCACCCAACACTAACTGTGGACAATTGCATCTCACACCTTTGATGGTGATTATGTCTCTCTGTAAGAATTAATTTTGTTATAAACCCAGAATTGTAGAAAATCCATAGAATCAGCACTAAGCTTCAGAGGAGCAGACAAAGTGCATTAAGTATGCAACAGTTGATAAATGAGAATCCAAAAGTTAACTGAGGCAAAAAACAACTCTGAAGCTTAAATATCAATACAATTTGTGAAGACAATTTTCTGTAAAATCACTGTATAATGCAGGTGCTAAAAATGTTTGCTTTCAAAGTCCCAGTGGCCTCTGGCTGCATTTCTGGTCTGACATAAATAAAGGGAATAGCATTAGGAGAGGATTCGAGGTGAAAGGGCATCAAATGTTGCATGCCTTCCCCCAACCTCCAGCCATGAGGGGAGCAGAGCCAGACAGTGGGGACCCCTTGGTGAAAAGTAGTCCTTGCCTTGGGGTCATTAGACAAGGCACAAATGATGACAGGCATTTTTATCCCTCAGCCACTAATGCTTCAAAGTACTTTGCCAAATTTTCATTAAATTTCTTGTACAATTATTGCCCCCCAGTTTCCTATCCTCATGATTGATGTCAGACTACAACATTCCTAATCTCACTCTTCCTTCCTAATTCAAGTGCTGACTCCAGCTTATTCTCCCTTTCACCCAACTTAACTCTCAGGCAAATACCTGGATTAAAAAATTTCATGGTACCAGGAAATCATCTTCAGACTGTCTTACCATATTTGGGCCTTAGTTCCATTCTTTCTTGTTCATCCATGTTATCCAGGATGGTGTACTTTGTTTTTTTCCTTATTTTAGTCCTTTTTCGTCTGAAAGAAACAATGAAAATCTCAACCCTGATTCTTAGAATGGTAACTGGGGTCTAGGACTTAAAACACATGGAAGACACTGCAGAAAATGTTCAGCTTTTAGTGTGTAATAGTTGCCATTACATAATCTTATTGATGAGACACATGCAAAGTCAGTTAGTGCTCAGTGGGGCTTAAGTGCATTCTGAAAAACACCTTGGAAAACCACACTTAGGCATTTGAAGAGCCATGCTATGCTCACCCACCTAACTACAGGTCTCACCTAAGCCTTAGGTTGAGGTGCCAGAGGCCCTTAGAGCAATCCTCAACACCTGTGTGTCTGCTCTAGGGAGTTTTGCTCCATGAGTAATTGCTTACTCAGGAAAACCTGGATGAGCAAGTTTTCCCCAGATTTTCTACCATGCTGGAATGTCCAAGGATACAGGAATGAAACTAGCAATGGAGTATGTTGGAGTGGGAGTTGACCACAGAAATTATAATACAACAAATTCTCCGAATGACTTAGCAACAACTCAGTCTTCCATTTTTTTCATAACACATTGAAAACTAAGCTGGTCTTATGTGCTTCATTATATGCTACAGAGGACTATCTGAAAATACATATCAAAACCACACTCAGGTATGTGAAGAACAACCAGTAATTCAAATTTTCTGATCATATGGTAATTAAGAGTGTGGACTGCTCCCTTGGTTTAGCATTTATTAGCTCAGGACTTCAAGAAAATTATTTAAAACTCCTGCATCTCCAGGTTCACACCTGTGAAATAGGAATAAGGGCAGTCCCTTTCTCATATAGTTGCTGGGAAGACTAAATAAGATAATACATATGAAGCCTTTACCCATCAATCACAATGGCAAAGACTTAGAAACTATTAAGTCATCATCACTATGATCATCACACACAACATCATCCTCTACTTGACAAACGTTTCACAAAGTTATGGAATGTTTAAAGTCACAAATAGTGAGATGTCAACATCCCACATGGTTCTGGGAAAACTTATGGGTGCCTGTGTCTGGCTCTCTCTCACCAATCTTATTATCAGGACATAAACACAAATAAAACTAAAATAATTTGTAAGTGATTTGTGAAAAATAACCATTAATTTTGGTATATCTATTATTTTTAATCACATCTTTGGAGAGCATTTATAGTGTTTCATATAGAAAAATGAACCCAACACCGTTCTCTAAGGACTCAAGTCATCAACTTCCTACAAATCTCCTCACAAAAAGCTGAGCATGGGGTTCTGGAAGATTTAGACATGAGGCAGCTCAGGGGTTCCTCAGAGGTCAACTCAATGGAAAAAAAGAAGGAAAAACTAAAACAAAAGTTCTCTTTGATAATAGTATTGCTGTACTTAAAATTTAAATTTATTAAAGGATCCAGATAAATAAGATTTCTGCTTTGTATAATTGATGTAAAGTCTACAATTCGTGCTCATATACTTTGAGATCTCCTTTCTCTATTGAGACCTTATTCAGGCCACTTAGCTACTGCTCAGCTGAACATAAAGTGAGGCCAAAAGAGAATAACATTAGATTTGAAGTAGAATTTGTTGACCTCATAAAATAGGAGGGCTGCAATGTGAAAAAGTAACAACTAGTGATAATCCATTAATTTTGGCACCTGTGCCTGGTGATGGACAGTGTATTATCAAGTATGCTTAAAGTCTCATTTATCATCTTTGAAAAGTGACTACCAAACAGTTCAGTAGTTTAACAAACCTAAGCAAATCGTACTTAAGCTGTCAATCACACCTAATGAGTGTTATTTCATATAAATAAGTAAGCACACCAGGTACCTCTTGCAGCAGCAGATGCAAAACCAAGTTAAACCCCCTGTTAATGTTATCAGCGTAAGAGCCAGTGCTGTCACGTAGAATATACTCCACTCTAAAAAAAAAAAAAAAACCAAGAAAGCCAGAGTAGACACAGTTATATACTATTTGCAAAATTGATTTGCAAATGATTCACAATGAATATTTCTAAGTCCATACAAGTGGAGGCAATCTGTGGTGTTGATACCACCTTGTCGACTGGCAACAGAGAACACCAAGAGCAAGTAAGAACAACCCCAAATGGTTTTGGCATAGTCCATTTGGTTCAGGGATATCATGATGCTCATATTCCATACTTGAAATTAGCTAAAAGGCTGAGAAGAGACAGGAGCACATTATTTCATCCCGCACCCAAACAAAACTACACTTAATCCATTAAGTGGTAATGCCTCCTTATACATGCATATATGGCACATCAAAATATTCATGCAAATCTCAAGAATCACAACCCCTCCCCCAAAAGGTTCTGATGTGGTCTTAATGAAATCAAGTGTCTGTATGGCTGCCTATGATATGAAGACACTTTTCAGAGAACAATTTGGAAACTACTTGATCTTCATTCTTTCCACATCCTTGCAGAATTCCAATGTAAAAAGCATTGCGACAGCAGCTCAGGAACCAGGAAGCCACAAGAGCAAAGATGAAATGTTTAACTCTATTAGATATCATGCACTCTCCTTGAAACAGTGATCTAAAACCTGATTATTTTCTAGTTTTTATGTACTATTAAGCAGGAACACAAACTGTCAATCAGCTCTTGCTGATTTTTTTCCTACTAATTATACCCATCTAGATCCCCAAGATGACAAGTTTACCCCAGAAGAAAACTGGCATTAAGATACAGTTTTCTCCCAAGAAGAGACCTACGAGTGGTAGCCCAGGCTGCTGAGATTGTGGGTCCAATTGTTGAGCCGGAAGAGTGGGCTGAAGTTTCTTTTTTGTCTAATTCCAACGGGTTCACCCAAGGGACACATCACTGAGTCTATGCCAAGGCAGGTGAAATGTGGAAATGTGGCTTGCAGCCCAAAGCAGCTCTTTCTTAGAAATGCCAACAATGGTTGGCAAATTTGCTCTGCCAGGGCAAACTTCCTCACTGGGAAGCTTTCCCTATAAACCTAAACTCCCAAAGGTTGGATTGTGGGAGGAGCTTAACTCACTACCAAGTGAGCCAGTTCACTTGGCTTCAGATAAAAAAAGGATTCAATGTCTCCAGCTGCAAAGCCAGGTAGGTATTTCTGTTATCTGAGAATGAGCTGCTGACTAGCTCCTCACCCAAAGCTACCTGTACACCAGAACTCACCACAGTTGCTCTCCCCATCCCGGATGTAGCGCTGTATAAGATTCTCCATCCACAACTGGGAGCAAATGCAGCGCTTTGTGAGGGGGTCACAGTGACCGTGGCCTGAACACTTGAGAAGGCAACCTGCAAAGAGGGGTGTAGGGCTGAGGTTACCACGGAGAAAAAAGATCCCTGGTTTCCACCTCTTTTGTATCTTCCATAGTGCAGGTCCTGAATAGATGCATGTTGTTGAATTAAGAATTTCTAATGTGGAACTCAATCAACCTAAATGGTAGGATCAAGATCAAGAGGATTGATCATTCTCTTCTCTAGCTCTCATTTTTACATTCTTGATCAGCTTGGTATGGTCCCTGATAAACTGAACATCTCATCGGAAGCTTTCTGAATGGGGTGGTGGGAAAAAAGGAGGGAAGAGATGAGGGAAAGAAGAAAGGTAATAATCATAAATGTTATTGCTTATTTTCAAACTTTATTCTGATAACATCTAGGAAATTTACTTGGCCTAACACCTTAAATTCTAATTCATCAACTCTAGAATGGGTCCAACATCTACATTTCAGTACACACCTCAACTAATCCTCCTGCAAGTAATCCACTGTCTCCAGAGTACCATTTCCAAACTTCATTCTCTGCTAAAAATAAAAAATAGATCTTGAAAAAAAAAGAATTTCTTATATGGGTTGGGAGTTTGGTTCAAGTGGTAGAGTGTCTGCTTAGCAAGCACAAGGCCCTGAGTTCAAACTCTACTACCACAAAAAAAAAAAAAACCTCTTATGTACAGATGGGTTCTTGAGATAGTCTCTCATCATTGGCAATCTCATCAGGAAGTAAACTGCAGAAAGAAAAAAGCCCATTCATGCAATATAACAAAGCCTTAAAATACAGCAGTCAGGTAGGCACAGTGGCTGTAATTTCAGTTACATGGGAGGCAGAGTTAGGAAGATCTCAGTTCAAGGCCAGTTTAGGCAAAAAAAGTTAGTGAGACCCTATCCCAAAAAACAAGCTGCAGATGTGAGGGAGATCTGGCTGTGATATCTGTCACCCCACTGATCGTCAGGGTTGATTCAGTTGATCTAGCTGGCTAGGCAGGTGTCCCCTTCCTCCCTTACCACTCCACGTGCATCCCTCCCAAAGCTGCATGCTCGTTCAAAGAAGACAACCTTCCCTGTAGTACCATTCTTGGGTCAAAGGCATACAAGTAGCTGTGCTCTGCTGCTAGAACCTCCAAACAAGCTCTCTAAAAACAAACTGGGCGTGGTGGTACATGTCTGTATCCCAGCTACACAGGAGAAGGAGGTAGGTGGATCACAGTCTGAGGTCAGCCTAGGCAAAAGTGAAAGACTTTATCTGAAAAATAACTAAAGCAAAAAGGTCTGGAGGCATGGCTCAAGTGATAGAGTACTTGCCTCGCTTGTATAAATCCTAAGTCCAAACCTCAGGACTACAAAAAAATGTAACAAAATCATAGTACCCTCTGGTCTACAAAAATCAAAGACTGCATCTAGGAAAAAGAATTGAAAGATGCATAAAGATTTATATATATATATATATATATATATATATATAATTTAAAATCAATCTTAAAGTCCACAAATAGAGGACTAGTTGCAATAGAGTAACTTAATTTTTTAGATAGCTGTTTTTTCTATCTATAAAAGTTGTTATTTACTGTAGGAAATTTGAACTATCCAGAAAGGCACAAAGAAGAACATATTGTAATTGAGAAATTCAGATGTAAATTGACGTACATCTGAAACAAATTGAATTTTATTGCCCAAACATAATCATGTCCCTTGTAACTCTCAATGAAATGACCTCTTCCACATATTTATTCGTATTACTCAGGAGATGAGGGCAAGGACCATGGAACTATGAACCAGTTTGGTGTCCTGAAGAGATGACAAGCAAGGAGCTAAGAAAGGAAGTACAACTGGAAGGCATTAATAAGCTATTTTAAACCTTCAAGAGTAAAATTAAATTTTCAAGTTTCAAAAAAAATTGACCTGTCATATGACTACTATTGTTCTCTAGTTTCTTTCCAAGACACAGCACTTGGTGAATGTGTGTTGCAGCAAACCTACTGGAAAAATAAATGCAAAACAAGTCCCCAGATGTTAATGTAAAACTGTTCACATGTCAGTCTTCTTCCTGCACCTGTAAAACTTACCCATGTTTAGCAAGTCTCATTCTTTTAGAATACTCCTACAGGGGACATACCTGCTGTGTCAATCCTCAAGACCTTGAAAAGCAAGAAGTCCGCTTTCTCCTTTGACAGTCGCCTGTGCAGATTCTCAGCCACTTCAGTAGCTCTGAGAATCTTGAAAGCTGGCCCGCTCTGTACGTAAAACACAATCACGGTGCTGCAGAGGAAACAAGAGAGGACAGCCACGTGGTCAGCCAGTGACCAACATGACATACCTCCTTAGACTGTGAAACTGGGAAGATAGACTGCTACAGTTCCATGGCTTGGCAAGGACCCAGGGACATGTCTGTGGGCCAAGGAATTGTTTCTATTCATAAATAAAGGCTCTTGAGTCCAAAGTATAGATGAGGATAGACAGACCTTCAGAGAAAAGATGCAGAATAATATGTGGGCAAACAGACACGACTATATACAAAACAAGAACTTTCAGCCATGTCTTCTTTTCAACCTTTTTTTTTGGTACTGGGGATGCAACCCAAGGCCATGGTCCACACCTCCATGGACCCTCCCACCCTTATTTTACCTTTTTTCTCTGGTACTGGAGTCAAACCCAGGGCTTCATGCATGTTAGGCAAGTGCTCTACCACTGAGCTGCATTCCCCAGTCCATTTTGAGACAGGGTCTTGCTAAATCACCCAAGCTGGCCTCAAACATGGGATTCTACTCAGTCTTCTGAGTCACTGGGCTTTTTTAAAAAACCTTTTTTATTGAGATATAACTCACCCACTATAAAATTCATACTTCAATGACTTAGTATATTCACAAAGTTACACATCATCACTACTTAGTCCCATCACCCCATAGAAGAAAACCGATGCCCATTAACAGCCATCCCCCATATCCTCTCAATAGACTCTGGCAACCAATAATATGCTTGTTGTTCCTATGGATTTGATTTTCTAGACATTTCGTGTAAATGGAATCATATAATATGTGATCCTCAGTGTCTAGCTTCTTTCATTCAGCGTAATGTTTGCAAAGTTCACTCATGTTTAGCATGTATCAATACTTCATTCTTTTTACTGCCAAATAATATTCCATTGTATGAATATATCACATTCTTAATCCATTCATCAACTGATGGACATTTAGAGTGTTACCATTTTGGGGCTATTATGTGATATGACCATCCACATACATCTTTTTGTGTAGACATAAGTTTTTCATTTCTCTTGGGTAATTACCTAGGATGGAATTAATGGATCATATGGTAGCTCTATGTTTGGCATTTTGAGGAACTGTCAAGCCTTTTCACAGTGGCTGCACCAGTTTACATTCCTAAGATATAAGTGTTCCAATTTGTTCATACTCACCAACAATGGCATGGTTTGTCATGGATTACAGCCATCTTAGCATGCAGAAAGCAGTATCTCAAAGTGGTTTTGACTAGCATTTCCCTAATGGCTAGTGATAAGCGTCCTTTCATGTGCTTTCTGACATTAGAACATCTTCTTTGGAGAAATATTTATTCAGATCTGTATGCATTTCCTAAGGCTTCTATAAGTAAGTACTGAAAATTGGTGACTTAAAACAACAGAAATCTCTTTTCTCACAGTTCTGGAGGCGAGAAGTCCAAAATAAAAGTGTCAGCAGGGCTGAGCTGTTGCATTGGTGCTATGGGAGGAGCTGTTCTGAGCCTTTCTCTTAGTTTCTAGAGTTGTCAGAGATACTCAGCATTCTGGGCTTCTATATGCATCAGTCCAATCTCTGCCTGTCATTGCCTGGTGTCCTCTCTATGTTGCTCTGTGGGTCTCCTGTGCTCTTCTTATGGAGATAGCAGTAACATTGGATTAAGAGCCTACCCTACTCCAGTATGACTATCTTATCTAGTTACATCTGCAATGATTGTATTTCCAAATAAGTCGTAGCCACAGGCACTAGAGGTTTGGATCTGAATATATCACTTTGGGAATGAATTCAACCTCTAAATGTTTTTATTATGAAGGGGCATTGGACTTTGTCAAGTTCTTTTTCTGTGCCTACTAAGACGATCATGTGATTTTGTCTTTTATTAATGTGGTTTATTACATTGATTGATTTTCATCTGTGGAAGCAAATATGCGTACTTGGAGTAAGTCCCATTTGGTTATGGTATGCAATATTTTACTATGTTGCTGGATTCAGTTTGATAGTATTTTTGTAGTGGATTTTTTTTTTTTTTTTTTGGTGGTGGTACTGGGGTTTGAACTCAGGGCTTCACACTTGCTAGGAAAGCACTCTACTGCTTGAGACATGCCTCCAGCCCTTTTTCCTCTGGTTATTTTTGGAGATAGGCTCTTGTTTTTTGCCCAGGCCAACCTGGAATGCAATCCTCCTATTTTAGACTTCCCTCCATAGCTGGGGTGATAGGTGCACACCACCCTGCACAGCTTTTTTACCTGAATGATAGGGTTTTGCAAACTTTTTATTTTTATTTTTTTTGGCCTGGATTGGCCTGGAATCATGATCTTCCTGATCTCAGCTTCCCATGTAGCTTGGGATGACAGGTGCATCCTACAGCACCTGTCAGCAGCTATTGGTTGAATGAGGTCTTGTATACTTTTGGTCTGGGCTGGCCTCAAACTGCAGTTTTTTCCATCTCAGCCTCCCAAGTAGGTAGGATTACAGTTGTGAGCCACTGGTGTCCACTTGTGGTGGATTTTTGCTTCTATACCAATAAAGGACATTGGTCTATAGTTTTCTTGTGATGTTTGTCTAGTTTCAGCAACAGTGCAAAACTGGCTTCACTGGGTGAGTTGGGAAATATTTTCACCCCTTCTATTTTTGAGAAAAGTTTGAGAAGTACTATGTTGATTCTTTAAACATTTTGCGGAATTCATCAATGGAGGCATCTGGTCCTGGCTTTTATTAATAACTCAATCTCGACTTTTTGTAGGTCTACTCATTTTTTTATTTCTTAAGCAAGTTTTCATAGTCTTCCTAGGACTTCATGAATTTCATCTGGTTATCTAATTTAATGACACAATTATTTATAGTATTCCTTATATTCCTTTTCACTTCTATAGTGTTGGTAGTAATGTCCCCTATTTTATTCCTGATTTTAGTAATTTGAGTCTTCTCTATTTTTTCTTGGTCTAGCTACAGGCTAAACAATTTTGTTGATCTATCAAAGAAACAACTTTCATTTTTGTTGATTTTTCAGACATGTCTTTGACTTAGTACTTGGTATTTTATTGGTAAGAGAAATGTATGACTCATTTTAAAAGAGTTCCTTAAAACAGAGGGTTAGGGGTGCAGCTCAATGGCACAGCACTTGTCTGGCATGCATAAGGCCCTGGGTTTGATCCCCAGCAACAAATGAATAAACAATAATTAAAGTGTGTTTAACTGGGCATTTTTCTAAGTAAATTTGAATTCTCTGGAGAACTAACCTAAACAGAGGAGCTGACAACAGCTCTTCTCTCACCTCACCTCAGTTAGATAAGAGTTTGAAAACAACTCAATTAAATGCAAAAATCATATAGGAATTAAAGCCTGAGGTTGAGCCTCATATACTCCTAGAAGTCAGCAAATGGGAATCAGTGATCTTTTCACCTTGAGAGAAGCTTCAGTCCCGTGAGTATGGCTCAAGGTTGAAGAGTGGCATGAAACAGCCTCCTCACAGGCCACAGGCCATTTGCATGCCCTCTGAAAATACCAGAGCTAAAAATCAGCTCCCTGTGATGTTCCCTAACTCTACTCAGAACATTCTCAATTTACTGGAACATGAAAGAAGGACCTAGAATGCCTTATCCTGCCCTTTGAGAAAAAGAACAGGAATATAGATGGGATAAAAGTGTGCACAAAAATACAGACAAGAGGAGGGATGAGCACCTCTCTGCTGGACTGGCCTGAGAGAGGAGCTGGAACTTCACAGGGTCAAGTCCCTGCCATTCCATACCTAAGATCCGAGTGGGCCTGGATCTTCTGAACCTTAATGTCTGTGTCCAGCACGTTCAGAAGCACTGCCAGCTGTCTCACCAGGGTATCCTTCTTCTGCTCTGTCAGCTGCCCAACACCAACTTGCAGGATCAGTTCCACCTGGCCACCCCTCTTGGGGTCTGCAAAGAGAGAAGTCACAGGATTTTAGAGATTACAGGCTTGACAATATAAGGTACAAGACCGGTGTAAGAGTTTAAACTTACTCTTGTATAATTTCTATATTTGGCTCTCAGGATTTATATAAATTCTCTGACGCACTGCAGAGGCCACCACCTGGGAGTACTTTTTCTTCTGTTTTATCCCCCTTTGTCTATTTTTTTCCCTCTGAAGATACCTTTATTTTTCCCCTGAAGATATCTAAGTGTACCTGATCAGCCTCTGCGCTTAAAACTTTGGCACCTCACACACTTCCCCAGGACCAGGAAAACTGTGTCTCCCGGCAGCACAGTCACTGCCCTGCCTAGTTTACATTGAGGGTCACTATGGCTGCCTCACTAGGGCTGCTCTTCCTTAGCAGTCCCTGTCCAGAAGCAATTATGTCCACTTCATATTAAATCTTTATCTTCTGGCAGGAAAACAAAACCTTCCTGCCTGATACAATTCTCCTTAATGAGATCCATTTTAGGGATATATAATGAAGTACAGAAAATTCCTCAAAGTGGCTGCCAAGAGCAATCACTGCTGCTGACGCCAGCCACTGGAAGCCTCCCACACTGGGTTACACCTATTAAGAGCCCAAACAGGCCAGCTGCATAGCCTATGAACATACCTGCCTGCACTTCCACCGTGGCAATGTCTGTGTCCGAGGCACCCTGACTATCAGTGACACGCAAGTGGAAAGTGTAGATGCCCTCCACCAGATTCGTGAGCTGCAGGGCCACAGCATGGTCAGAGCCATCGATAACATCCTGTGAATAACATAATTCATAGGCCAGTTGTCAATCTCGGCTCCTAATTTTTGAGGTTCTGTTGATCACAACTTCAGTGTCCCATCTTTTTGTCTATGCATAACTTTGTGGGGGCAGTGGAAACCAATGTACTAGATAATTCTGTACATCTCTTCCCCATCAGGTTACACAAAGTCCTCAGAGTGTACTTCTGGAGCTGAGTTTGCTACACACTTCCTAGGAATTACTGAATGATTAATTTAATCCAGCAGAGAATTTTATTTTCCAAACATAGTTTTACAATACTCCCACTTCTGGTTCCCACCCAAGAGCCTGGGTAAAAACATCGCTGTTCTGTGGGCCTCAAAGCTCTAAAGAGTTAGAAAACAAGCTCCCAGATTCCCTGGTCTTTACTTGCTAGGGGAAAAGGATGGCAATAAATAGTAAGAACTCTGAACACAGATCCATTACAGTTACACTTAGAAACTAATGAACCATCTAAGTAGAATTAATTTTGGAAGTGCTTTGGAAAATATAAAGCATTTTCCTGTTCCTTCCCTGTGACTACTCCTATGGTATATCTCCAAGAGTATATCTGTAGATCTTGAGTCCTTAGCAGCATCAGGAAAGAAGATGTACCTAAATTTATAGCCTAAGAGACTGAGTGATCCACTGCAGTAAAAATATCTTCTAGAAGCTAAAACCCTGAGGATTTTTTTTTGTTTGGTTTGATTAAGGGTGAGTTAGTTGAGCTTGGCCAAGTCATTTTCCCCTCTGCATTTCATTCTGAACACCTGTGAAGTGGGAACAGAAATCCCTGAGCCTTTGACATAGCTGATACAATATGAGGAGGAGGAAAGAATCAATTTGGATCAAAATAGGAACAATAGGGAAACAAAAGAGTGGGGTTATCCTACTGGGAGACTTGGCTTCAAAGTCCCTCCAAGCTATGGTTTGCTACCCTATCCAAAGTCTAGTCAGGGAAAAGTCAGAAAAGACTTCAGCTTTGTTTAAATTCAACTACAGCCTCTACCCCTCCAGTCCTCAGAACATTCAAATGCAGAAGCACAGGCCCCTTCCTAAAGAGATGAGGTGATAATAGAGGTGGTCATGGATTGAATTATATCCCTCCAAATTTCACATGTGGAAGCCCTAACCTCCAATGTGACCATACCTAAAGACAGGAACTATAAGAAGGTAATTAAGGTTAAATAAGTTACAAAGGTGGGATCCTGATCCAGTAGGATTAGTATTCTTAAAAGAAGAGACATGAGAGCTCGTGTTCACACCTCCTCCCTCTCCTGCCATGTTCACACCTCCTCTTCTCACATGGTGAGAAGGTGACAAAGGCCAGGAAGAGAGACCTCACTAGAAATCAAGTTGACCAGCACCTTGAGCTTGTTTTCCCAGCTTACAAAACTGTGAGAAAATATATGTCTATAGTTTAAGTTTTTGTTGCAGCAGCCCAAGCTGACTCATATAACTGATAAAGGGGCAATCCCATTTAAGTACTCACTCCAGCTGCTGGACTCTGGCCATCTCGGATCCACAGATAGGACACAATTCCTTGGTCATCAGTAGACCTTGAACCATCCAAAGTAATGGAATTATTGGGAAGCACAAGAATATGTCTGCCACCAGCCTGGGCTCTGGGAGGACTATTAATTTCTAAGTTAAATATAGCAAAAATGAAAGCAAAGAAATTGATTTAAAACACTGGTGACAGAAAGTGTGTCATAAAACACCTATGATCATTCCATCTTGTAGATATGTAGAATTTGAATATGTAAAAGGTATTATTTTCTGCCCCAAATACCTGTAAGATATTATATAAAGACTTTCTTATAGCTCCGTGACTAGCTGGTTATAATTTAGGATGAAAAAGTAAAGCAGGTAGCAACCTAGACATTGGGAATTTCTCTGATGTTTAGGTTTTTCTCTCCTTGAAAAAGAGAAGTAATAACCTTATATTCAGGGTCCAGAGGGTGAAAATATTTTGATTTAAAATATACTCCAATGTTGGAAGTGTACTCCATGGTAGAATACTTGCCTAGCATGAGCAAATACCTAGGTTCAATTCCCAGCACTGCTAAAATGAAATGAAATAAGATAAATACATATTCTGGGTAATTTTCCACATTCTAACTGCCCACACCATCTGGATGAAGAAATATTTTGATTTCTATTATTGCCAAATTGGTAAAAAAAGAAAATAATAATAATACTTAGACTCTCACTCCTATGACTAGGTAATAGATATAAACTAGGCAATGTAAAAGCCATTTCTGATTTAACACCCTCAGGTAAGAGGAGCCACGAGACATCTAGAAAGACTGGGGTGCAGTGGTAAGATCATAATAATGGCATAGCCCCAGCTTGGAAATGAGGCTCCAGCAACTCTCCTAGCTGATCATTCCATAGGACATGCATCTTTCCATCTTGCATCTTCCATCATGCATCTTGTGTGTGCTTAATCACATCACAATAACTCATTAATTCATCCAATTTACCACCATTTAGATTTGTTAGAATCTAGCATTGTGCTCTATGAAGGATAAAGAAATGTCTGAAGCAAAGGACCTTGAGCAGCTCATAGTCAAATGGGAAAACAGACAAGGAGACAAGTACCCAAAGCCGCACTGCATTGGTCTGCACCCAAATTTTCCATTAAGAAACAATATAGAACTGAACACATTTCTGCTCTTGAATTTCCAGGAATAGAGAAAGCAAGGTATAATGGTGTTATTTAGTCATGTGTAGCTAACTGCAAGTAATCACAGGAGGAAAATGAAGCTAGAAGTTGTACTTCACAAACAAAGGGAAATGCTATTTCCTTGCAGAGGGGTACTGGAAATCAGCTAATGTGAGTAGAAGGTTGACTTTTCTGGGCAAGGCAGATTTCAGCATTTTCTACGAGCTAATAAGCAAACACCAACATCTCTAAATAATCGTGGCCTAGCTTGGGGTCCTATATGACTAGAAGGCAGGACAGGTCCAGACGCTGTACCATGAATGTGTTCACTCACCCTTCTTCACTGCCACGGTCATGGTGGATGTGCTGCTCAGTCCCTGCTGATCTTTCACTGTTAAACGGAAGTGGTAGGTACCCACCTGAAGACCAGTTACAGTGGCTACAGCTTTGTCAGTGTTTTCCATTTCTACTGTACCAGGGCCTCTGTAAAAAATGAAAGTGGATAACAAAAGGGAGAGAGTATGGGATTCTGCGAATGTGGCAGGGACGTGATTTGTTGCCTAACAAAAGGTTCTTCTTCCAACTGTAATATATGACAACTAGAGAATTCTAAGATAATTGTTTATTCACTGCTATTCTCCAGTTCAATGACAGAGTCAAAAGCTGAAGCCTATTTTAGACAGAGCCGCTAGATTCCTAGGAAGAAGACTTTTGCTCTTTTTTCTTTTTTAGCTGACCTGTCAGTGAAATGATTTATCCTTCAAAAGTGGAACCTTAGAAATTACTCCTATTTCTTTTTTAAGTAAAATTAGGGTAAATCCTCATCTATCTTTAGGGAGAATATGGAGGAGGAAAGAATGAGCCAAATAATTGATCTGCTAGAAGAGAAATTCCAGTGTAGTCAGTAAGGTCATGGGCTTGGTCAGGAAGACCTAGGTTTGAGTTCTAGCTCCTTCTCTTCCTATCTGAGCAACCTTAAGTCATGTGATTTCACTACTCTCTTCAAGTCTGAGTTTTTTCACCTTTACAATCTGAATGATATCTGTCTGGATCTCTTAAGAATCCACATGTGATTTGGAAGCCAAGCATATTAAACTCAGAAGATGTTGGATTATATAAGAATCCCCTGCACCCCTGTTGTTACAGTCCTTGCAGGATGGGTTGAGTACAGACAGCACTACATTCAGGTTTCCCTGCACTTCTACTATGAAGCTTACCTTAAACCAAGATATTCCTATCTACCAGCCCTGGGCCCAACCTCCCTCCACTGTTAATGAATGTTCATCTTGTTTATCTACACTTGATATATTCCTTTTTTGTTCTGTTTTGTTTTGTTTTGTTTTGAGACAGAGTCTCACTCTATCACCCCAGCTGACCTTGAACTCAGCCTCCCAAATGCTAGGATTACAGACATAAGCCACCATACCCAGATCACACTTAATATATTCCTTAATCAATAATGTACAGATTTGGCTTGGTGCTGTGGCTCAAGTCTATAATCCTAGGTACTTGTGAGATAGAGATAGGGAAGACAGCAGCTCAAGGCCTGTCCAGGCAAAAAGTTTTCAAGACCCCATCTCAATCAATGACTGGGGCATGGTGACACAAGCCTATCATCCCAGGTACTCAAAGAAGTACAAACATGAGGACTGCAGTTCAGGATGGCCTGGGCATAAAGTGAGACCCTGTCTCAAAAAGAACAAGTAAAAGGGCTGGGGCATGGCTCAAGTGGTAGAGGATCTGTCTAGGAGATGTGAGGCCCTGAATTCAACCATCAGCACCACAAATAAGTAAATAAATGCCCCAATTTTTGCTTATATCCTGACTCCTCAGCAAGCTCAAGCTGGATGTTTAATGCAGATCCTCCAGAGAAGAGATTTTCTCACTCAGCTGTGGTCCCATGGTGGTAAACCTGGAAACCAGTGGTGAGATACACTACCTGATGTGTTCCCAATGGTAGAAGGTAATGCCATGGTCATCCCTGCTCCTGCTCCCATTCAGGGTGGCACTTTCCACTGGGAAGACCAGCTCCTTATCGGGACCAGCCACAGCCACTGGAGGCCTGTTGTTTTCTAGAAACAGGATGGGAAAGTATCATCTGTTTTTATTAAGTTTGCAATTCCCTGATTTCTTGATTTAAGCAAAATATTCAGACCAGGAAGCTCCTAGAGTACACAGGGTCCTCTAGGAATCCCAGGTGTAAGGTGAGCTTCCTGATAGAAGATGTGCAGGGAAACCTGTGTGTTGTCCTGTCTACATTCAACCCACAATGCAGTCTCCTAGATGACCTAGCTCTTGAACATCCCAGCTTTGAGGCTGGAGTAACAGACACCAAGAAACATTGTTCCCCAACATGCACATCTTTGCTTCCTTAGATGACCTTCACAAGTCACACTGCCAAGAGAGAAGGAAAGGGAAGAAGGATAGGAAGAGAGAAAAGAAGAAGGAAAGAAGGAAGGAAGAACGGAAGGTAGAAGGGAGGGAGGAAGAGAGGAAGGAAAGGAGGAAGGAAATGGACATCAATGTGCAGGACCTGCTTTGTCAAAGGGCTCATTTCCTTTCATCTTTGTAGCCCCAGTCTCAAATGCAGTATCTGGTAGATAGCAAATGTGCAAAATACTTTAAGTGTTGAAGAAAAGTAAAAGATATAAAATATCACTAACAGTTTTACTGATAAAGATAAAATTTCTATTTAAAAAAAGTCATATAGTCAGAATCTGAGGCAGCCATTGCCCAGACTGTGGACCACGTCACTTCCCCACTATTCTTCTAAGTACAGTCAGTAGTTTCCCACTGCCCTCAGGATACAACACTTATGTGGCCATAGATTTACAAAATCCTTCATGCTGAGACCCTGCCTTTCTCTGAATCATCTGTCCTCATTCCTTCCACTTCCCGTCTTCACACTCCCACCTCTTTTTCTCTCTCGAGTCACAAGAGTTCCTTTCAATTCTTTGAATTTATCAGATTCTCTCTCACACAGTGGCCTCCTGGTATCCTGTTCCCTCTAACTAAAGACTCTTCCTCTTGCCCTCCATTCTGCCCTTCGCCTTCACCACCTGACTGCCTGCCACATGTGCTTTATCTGGCACCCACAGAGCACTCTTGCAGATGCCACACACCCTGGCAGGTGCCCTTTCTTTGGGTACTTGACACACCCTACCATTCCCCTTGTCAAGCAGTAATTCATCACATTGTTTCATGTGAACTTGCCCCTACCCCATGAGGGCAGAAACAGTCTATCTTGTTCACATCCCCAGAGCCAACTAGGAGTGTTTTTTACATATTAATTGAATCAATAAGTAAAAAAATTAAGACCAAGGCTATTCCCATTGCAGAGTTTGTGGGAACTACAGGACTCTTCTAAAAAAATTATGAAGCAAAGACTATTGTCAAGCAAAGGCTTGGCTGCCTGTAAGTTTCCTGAAGTCTGGAGATAGCAGAGACCTGAGTTTTCATGACACAATTTCTAGAAAATGAGCTGAACTGGAGCCAATGCCCAATGTCTGGCTACATTTGAGTGTCAGGCCGCAAGACACCCAGTCTGCTAGGGGTCCTTGGGGGCGCTCTACAGCAGAGTGGGACACGGGTGGGGACAACCACATGGCAAACTGAGATTCTCTCATTTTGCCTTTCATACCACCATTTAGAGACATCATTAAGACAAGATTCAGAAACTCTACAGAAAATCAGTTTGAATACAGCATCAGCACCCATGGCCGATTTCCTGATGGCTCAGAGACTTAGAGATATTACCACCAAATGTGACACATCCAAAGCCCAGAATGACCCAATTATCATTTCTGCCTTCACCTTAGGGTCAAATCTCACTTCCATCTCACCTACCAGGCTGGACAGTCACAGTAGCCAAAGCTGTGGATTGCTGTCCTGAAGAATCTGTCACCATCAGTTGAAATATATACTCTCCTTCCTGCATTGCAGATAAATGAAGGTATGGGGTCTGTGCTCCCTAAGAGCAAATACGAAAATGAAAAAAATATTAAAGAAGCATAAGTAAATAGTATGACATAATATAACCAGTGGTTTTACTTAATACAGAGATCCTGCTTAAAACTGAAGTATGTGTGAACCAAGAAAATATAATTTAAAGTCCATTGCTTATCCTCACACTGTTGAAGGAATTAATTAATTTAACTAATATAGCCTTGGAAGTCAATATGGCAACATTCATTAAAATGTAAATTGCGCACATTCTTCAACCCAGCAATTCCTATTCTCAGTATCAGACTATGGAAAGGTACAGGAGGCCCACACACGGACACCGAGCAAGTGCAGTCTGTAACACCAAGAAATGGAAGCCATCTCAATGTTCATCCACAAGAGACTAGCCAAGTACACTATGATATACTACGGAATGATAGTTTAAAAGAAAGAAGCTTAAAAGAATGAAGTAGTTCTAAAAATGCTAAAGTACAAAATGTCAGACATATTCAGCAAAAAAAAAAAAAAGTTGTGCAGCCATGCATAAGCTGTGACAAGCATTGCTACATGTATAGGTATGCACATACAGAAACACACAGAAAAGATTTTGGAAGTGCACACACTAGATTGTATTTCCAATAAGTGGACATGGAGCACAGTGATGGTCAAGATGTAGTTTTACTTTACCAGAATTTATTTTACTTTTTTAACCACAAGAAGCAATACATGTCTTACTTTTTCTTTTAAAGAGGGACAGCTGCTGGGATTGAACCCGGGGCTTTTCATGTTCTAAGCACATGCTCTACCACTTCTCTGCACCCCTAGCTCTCAAGCACCACTTTTGCAAACAAAACTAATTTTTTAAAACCAGAAGGCAACATCATTATTTCAAAAGGCTATTTTTTTCAGTTGAGTATGTAATAGCTACACTTGTGGCTCTGGGTTAATATAATCATTTTTTGTTGTTCCTTTGCTGTTAGTAATAGTTCCAATTATTCTCATATTTGAGGTTTGTGGCATCATGGAAAGGATTTTTAATTTAAGTCCTATTATGACTTATTTACTTTTGAAGATCCCAAGAGTATCTAAACATGAATATATCTGTATGTATTTTTTTAAGAATTTAACGGAAAATTGAAAACAAAAGTTGATATACTTGTGAAGTTTGAAATGCATAAAGACTTAAGGAATTTTTTAAATGCCATTCTCTACTTTGAGTAAATAGGACAAAAACCTTTCTCTGAAAAGTTCAATATGAAAAATATAATTTCCTAGTAACTGCCTCCAAAATTGTCATGGTTACAGGAATGCTTACATACATGATGAAAGGAAATGTGGTAGCAAATAGGAACTGACAGACTCCTATGCTTCCCTGAACACCCAAAGCCGCCATCTGTTTGAGAAAACTGCACAAGCTTCACTTTCTTCCCCAATGTACAGCACAGTCTCAACAGGCTGGCATGATTTTGAAACTAATGTAAAAAGGTCTGACCAGAGGTGGTGGAGCCTGCTTGCAATCCCAGTACTTGGAAGGCTAAGGTAGAAGGATGGTAAGTTCAAGGCCAGCCAGGGATGCATAGCAAGAGCCTATCTAAAAAAAAAAGAATATCGCTCACAGCTCATCTTTGTGATGGCCCTAGAAAATACAAAGCATCACCCCTTTGGGCATCTTAATCAATAATTAAGTAGTAACATGGTTACTGTGATCAGTTTTAGGCAAGAAGAAAGGGTGTTGGCAGCTGCTGGGCTGGTACAGAGAGGAAGGCTAACTCTGTTCCCAGTCCTAACTTTGTAGTCTAGTACTTCAGCTACATGTTCAATATGCATGGATGAACTCTGGGGGATTAGGTCTAGGCACATAATTCTCAATAATTGTTTAACAAATGGAAGATTTTTAAGCAAAGAAAATACAGTATATCACATCATTCTCTTTTTCATCCAAAGTCTTCTGAATCAGAATTCATAACACAATAGAAGCAAATGTGTCATCTGCTTCAACCTTAGGCAGAGATGGACACTACAAAAAGTGCTCTCCAAATATATCTACAGGGCTCACAGCTTGTTCAAGTTCCACAAACCCAATCCATTGTTTTTAATTTGCCATTATTGCAAAGCACTTTTCAGAAATCCAGAAAAGCAAAGAAGACAAGTTTTCATGGGATGTGAGATTTCATCTTAAATGATAAATTTATCTCAGGCTGGTGAAATGTGAGTTTGAAGAAGGAAGGGAAATTGGCAATATAAGAACCTATTTTTATCTTTTTATTAAACTTTCAAATAATACTACAACTTCAAAAATTCCAAGCTGACTTGCCATAAAAATTACCAGCTCTAGCCTACACAAAAATAAGAATGCTATGGTTTGGATCTGAAATGCTGCACAAGGCCCAAGTTTTAAAGACTTGGTCCCTGGCCCATGGTGCTACTGAGAGGTAATGGAACCTTTAAGAGGTGGGGCCTGGTGGGAGGTCTTTAGGTCACTGGGAGCATAGCCTAGAAAAGGGACTGTGGGATCCTGGCCTCTTCTTCCTCCTACTTGCTTCCTGACTGCCTGTGGTAAGTGGCTTTTGTTCTCTGCCACATGCTCCCCACCATGATGTGTCACCTCATTACAGACTAAAAGCAACAGGGCCAACTGTAGAAAGACTGAAACCTCTAAAACTATGAGTCAAACTACACTGTTTCTCTTTATGAGTTGATTATCTCAGGTGTGTGTTACAGTAACCAAAAGCTGACTAACAAGTTACACTGAAACAACACACAAGCATTCACATGGGCACACACATATAGCCAAGCTTTCAAAGTTGTTATGTATTTAGACATATCTTGAGCCAATCATATACAAATAGAAAGAAGCTCTTACAAAGAAACCACTGGATATAGATAAAATAGCATGGAGTTTCTATAAATACTAGAAACAAAATAACAAATCACTTTCTGATAATGAAGTTTAGGTTAGATTATTTGTAAGGTTTCTTTCAATACTAAAATATTTCTCTAACAAATGTTGGGTCAGACTTTTCCCAAATTGGCCTCAAAATCTAGTTGTTAACATAGGGCTCTCTTGGCAGCTATTCAGTGCTTTTCTAAGTGGGTGAGGGGGAAGAGATATAAATTTGAAAGATTTGTGAGTTTGGGTGTTCTTCTAATAGTTTAATAGTCTAGTGAACAATTTCGTAAAACAGATTTTCTGGATTAAAGTGCCTCCCCAAACCAATTGTTTTTTGGCTGGGGTTTGAACTCAGGGCCTCATGCTTGCTAGGCAGGCACTATGCCACTTGAACCATTCCGCCAGCCCCCAAACC